AGTGTGAGCATTTTGCACTTTTGCTGCTTCACTAGTTCCGGTTTACAAGTCTCACTCTGGTGAAACCTGTGAACTCTTGTGAAGCTGGAGCAAGCTCGTCGAGCCACCATGGTAAAACCTGTCAACTCACGATAAGGCTCTTGGTGGGTCGGCACGTCGATGAGAAGTAGCAAAAGTGCAAAATGCCCCCCCCCATGTCGTCGCCGAACTGCCCCACAAATCCAACTGATTTCCAGGTGATGACTGAAGACCACAAACTGAGAGTTAGTAGTCACAGTCCTACAGAAGTAATGCCGACATCAAAGGATGAAGCATTCAACGATAAGAACGCAGCACGAATGAGTGAAGATCATACGGTTGTGATTTGCGAGGAGGTACTGAAACGACGAGAAATCTTGCTGGACATGTGCAATACGCGAGAGACGGAAATTAATCGGAAAAGGTACTGCGATTCAGTTCATCTGCGATTACTCTTTAACTTGCGCCTTTGAAAACGGTGCTCCTGACAGGAATGAATACGGTAATCCTAAAGAGAAGGACTATGACTATTTTGAATAACTGCTCATATTGCGTCTCAGCCTTCCTCCTTCGTTTTTTCTTCTTCCTCCATTTTTTCCTTCCGTCCCCCTCTTCCTTTTCCTTCTCCATTAATCGGGGCCAGTATAAACGAAAATACCTCTGGACCGCCGAGAGCATGCCCGGTTTACAGAAGCCCTGTAACTCTCATTTTGCATCCATGGCCTTTGGGGCGAAATTGAATTATTGTAATTACTGAAGAGTGCCAAATGCTAAAGTGAGTTGAAGCCCGTAGTACGGAGGGATCACACAGCCAGCAGGGTCATATTTGTCCGATGAAGACTGTTGTACTCTGACTTAGATATTTTCATGTTGAACTTTTCTGTTTTTCCTGTTTAACCCCCCCCCCCCCGCCCCCAACACTGACGCAATCAGTGAAAAAACTGAGTATCCTCAAAAAACTCCGAGGATAAATGATAGGAAGTTGAGAAAATTCAGAGAAAAATGCGGAGGTGTATGGGGAGGGATGGGTCTCACTGAAGAAACTTGATGTGGGGTCGTGATGTACAAAATTTTCTCAACGTTAGGATCACGTTCGTGGCGACTATGACACACATCAGCTCTTTTATGTCTTCTTTGCCACCACGGCAAGGGGGCGGCCTGGTATTTTGGAGAAAAAAATTTCCCAAATGTATCTTCTCGTTTTCCGCCACTGTAAGTTGCCCCCTTTATCGGTTGCCTCCGCAGGAATGACGCTTCTGATTAGTGATTAGAGCCTTAGCCGCTTTGTTCCTCCGTCTTCCGCCGATGTCAAAGTTTTGGAAAGTGGGAATAGCCGGTGCGTGGGCCGCGCACTCAGAGGAAATTTGATGTGGATACACATATTGGCGAATGTCTCCCTCCGCCACGCCCGTCCCCCTCCCCCTCTCCCCCCCCAAAAAAATACCAAACGTCACTTGAATTTCGGCATGAATTCCTTGGTTCGACAAAAGAGCAGACAATTAACATGCGGTCATCATACGGCCTCTCCATAAAGATTTCACTGGACAACAACGCTTCCCTTTTCCGCGCGTCAAATACGAGCGGACCCCCCGTTGTGATGTCCACAATGGTGGCTGCCCGCTGGTTGCAAGCTTTCCGGGAACAACGCTCACTGTTGAAAATCGGTTTGTGAAGGGAAGTTTCGTGAGGAGCTAACAACCCTGGAGGGGGCATCCAAAGGACTGTATGTGTGAAACTGAGTTCAACGTCATTCTTATAGAATTCCCGTGCTTGAAATTGATGTTTCTACCTCAGACTTCCTCCCCCTTCTGATTAATTAGGAACCCTTATCTCAATTTCGTTGTAAGTCTAGTTTTCTCAGAATTTCTCCAAATCCCCCTCCGTTAATGGGTTAATAGCGGCATTTATGACTGAAACTCTTGATGGCCCATACTGTAATGGAATCACATGATTGCGTAAACGATGAATCAGTGAAGGGCGGCGCTGGTTTCCATTTTGCGGTGAAACATGGCAACCGTAAGTGCATAGCTGTCAGTGCCCATTACTTTTGAGGGCAATCGGTTGTAGGGTTCTATTTTTGAAGACATTTTGGATCCGCCCGCTATTAGACAAACGTGGCCGTTATGTAAACGGGAAATCAGTAAAGTAGGCACTGATTAGTGCTATGCTTCTGACGGGCGCTTCACTATCACTGATATGATAAGCGATGACGTCATTATGACTGAAAAGAATTGGAGAGCCATCGCTGTTCCAGCTGTAGTCAGGGAACACCTTCAATGGCTGGAAAATTCTGAAGCTTGAACTCTTAAGAAAAGTTAATGTTCTGTATATTCTGGGAAGGACGTCATCAACATGCTCTACTCTTCCTGTCTCTTTAGTGGAGGAGGCAGCAGGAACTGTGCACCAACGGCCTCGTTTTCTGGCTCCGCCCATACGACAATCCCGAACGGCTTCTCTAAACCACATGAAATACTTATTGAATTTCCCTTTTCGCAAATGGACTGGGTTGCTGTGGATGACATAGCCCTTTTTCCGTAAAGACGCTACGAAGGCATTACCGTGTTCTGTTTCAGGGCTGAGGCATGGGATGAAGTCCATGTGGCGACGGTGAAGCGTTGTCAACGGAATCTACGATTAGAGCAAATCAAACGCGTGTGGAGGCATCAGAAGAACCGTGTACGGCATATTCTCAACCTAGAAAAGTTAGTGGTTTCGTCGTGAGGAGTTCTCTCCTCCAGTTCGTGCTTCATATGTGCCCTTTCAGGCTCTCGTCTGACACCGAAGTTACGCTGGAGGATGTTATAGCGGCCCGAAAAGGTTTCATGACCGATTATGAGATTGCTATTGCCCGTGCTTACTTGGAAGTGCCACCGAGAAGTCACTCGCCGGGAAATCGTCGCCTGGATGATCTCGACCTCTCCTTCAAGAGAAGAGCTGAGACGTCACCAACTATTCGTATAGATGATTCAGTGACCAGTGT